CGGGCGGGTGTGGCCTGGGGCGGGCTGGAGCCTGCAGGGCGGGGAGGGGCCGGGGCTGCGGGAGGAAGAGGCTAGAACAGCTGTGCGCCTGGCAGCTCGCACTTGGGATCTCAGTAAACTCGGGAGGAGCGAGCGATGGGAGGAGCGCAGGGTGGCCTTTCTCAGACGTTAGCGGGCGCAGGGGCTGTCTGGGACCTTGTGAACAGGCGGGTTCTGGCCAGCAGGCCTGGGGGGCAGGGGGACAGGGGGCGGGATTCCACGCTTCTGATCAGCTCCTCACTGCACAGGAAGCAGGGGGCCCTGCGAGTGGTCTCCCCACTGTCACCTGGGGCCTTTGGGAGCCTGTCCCCTCCCTCCCAGCATCCAGGTGGCTCCCCCACTGTCCCCACTGGCCTGCGAGCTCCCGGGAGGAGCGGCCTGGATCCTGGTCACCAACACAGGACCTGCCACTTACAGACATTGTGAACAAGCCAGGGGGGACCATCAGGAAAATGTCCCAGGTCCCCAAATGGATCTCAGCTGGGGGAGCCCAGACCCAAGCCCTAGCGCCAAGCACAGGGAAGAGGCTCGGGGCTCCCTGGGGCTCCCCGGGGCCCCTGTGTCTGTGGTCAGGTGCTTTCAGACTCTCTCCTTCCCCAAGGACGGGGTCCCTGGAGGCTGGGGAGGAGGGTGCAGCCGCCCCAAGGGCGAGGCAGGAGGAGGGATGGCAGTGTCCGCCGTGGAGGGCTGCTCAGGCCCAGGAGAGCCGGCGCAAAGGCCCTGGAGAGCCGGGCCCAAAGGCCCCGGTTCTGGCCCCCGCATCCTGCCTGAGTCCGGACAGGAACCTTGAACTTCCTGCTGCGGTCGGTCATTCATTCACGCCCGCTGCTCTCGTGTCCCCACGGATGGTCGTGGTCCCTTCCTTGAGGGCAGAGGCCTGGGCGGCTGGTATCGTCCAGGTCCCTGAGGTTCCGTGGAGGGGAGACAGCCTGGGATGTGGAGCTAGAGGGAGGCCCTAACCAGGGCAAGTGGCTTCGTCGCTCTCAGCCTCAGTTTCCCCCTCTGTTTAATGGGGACGATGACTCAGGGGCTCATGGGACGACAGAAAGAGGGGAGTGAAGGGCTGGGAGTGAAGACATGGACCAATACCCCGCCCCTCTTTGGAGCGGCCCATCCCTTCCCTCGCCCTTGTTGGCACCTTCAGTGGTGGAGGTGCCCCCTTTGTCCCCTCTGCCCCGCCCTG